CCGGCTTCTTGTCTGCCATCGCCACCACCCACGCTTCTCGGCTGCAATCACAAGGGACTCGGCCAGCCGGCTACTATCCGCGGCGCAGGCGGCCGACTTCTTGTAGTCTCCGACTACAGTTAGGATTCCCTTGGTACTTGGCATCTTCATCTTGAGGTAGGCATAGTGGAGGACTGCCATGAACTTGGCCAGGGCAGGTTGACCAAGCAGTGCATGGTAAGGGCTCTCTAAGTCCACCACCTCAAACCAAACTGGCTCTCGGCGGAAATGATTCTTGTCACCAAAGAGGACATCAATCTGGATCTTGCCGATTGGTGAGCAGGAAAGGCCAGGGACTATGCCATGGAATACAGTCCGACTGGGGAGGAGCTGCTTCTGCTTGATTCCCAACTTCTCCATTGTGTCGCGGTACAGGATATTTATGCTGCTGCCGCGATCTATCAAGACCCTGGAGGAACAAGCTGCCCGCCTTTCTGTTGTGAGGGTCGCATCCAGGACTAAGGCGTAGGAACCGGGGGAAGGCATTACTTCCGTATGGTCGGCCCTGCTCCAACTGATGGGCTTCTCGGACCAGTGCATGAACTCTGGGGTGCTTGAGGCTACTGCATGCACCTCTTGCTGTTGTTGTCATCTGCTGCGCCTATCATTGGCCACACTAGTGAACACGACATAGGCTCCGTGCTCTGCAGGATACTCATCTTGAATGGCGCCGACTGGCTGGGCCGCCGGCTGCTGGGGCGGAGGAGGCGGCAGGCCGGCAGGTGGAGGAGGTAGGAGGCCATCTCCCTTAGCAATCCTGGTGAGCCAGTGACACTTCCGAGTGGTGTGGTTTGACGGCTTCGCGCCACTGTGAAACTTGCAGGGAGCATCAAGGGTCTGCTCGTACGAGAAGGCGGGCAGCCAGTTGGGCTTGCCGCCCTTCTGACGCTTGGGCGCTGGCTGCCCCTCCGGCTGCTGATCCTCGACTGTCGCCACCTGCCGGCTGTTGGAGGCCGGCTGGGTGGCCTTCCACTTGTTGTCGCTTGGGGGCTTTCTCCGACTGGTCTCGCCAGCTAGAGTCCGAGGAGCCTGAGGTGCTACCTTGCCGGATGCATCGACTAAGATCTCCGCCTTCATGGAGGAGTCGACCATGGCGTGCTTGTCGGCGATGATTAACAGTTTGTCGAGAGTCGCAGGCTCATCGCAGAGAAGCCGATGCTTGAGGAGGGTGCCTTCTCGGCACCCGGCGGTGAAGTACTCGATGGCCTTCACCTCGTGCACGCCCTCCCAGGAGTTGCGCAGCTCGGCCCAGCGCATGAGATAGTCGTGAGTTGATTCGCTGGGCCCTTGGACGCAGAAGGAGAGCTGCCGGGGCTTGGGAGGCCGCTTGTACGTGCTGTTGAGCCACGTCCGGGCCGTCCCCTGAAGCATGAGAGGGACGTATTTCACGGCGACATGCTTCTTGCCGTTTGCTATGCTAACGGCCGTGGAGTAGTCGACCTGCCAGTCCTCCGGCTTCACGGAGCCGGTGTATTTGGGCATATCTCGCGGGAGAGTGAACCCTTTGGGGAAGGGCTCATCTGGGATCCTGGGGCCGAAACAGGGTGGGCCCAGTGCGTCTTCTTCTTCTAGCGCCAGGGATCGGTTGAGGCAATCGATCCGATGGCGGGCGTTGTTTTCTCCAACTCCTTCTCGGCAGCCAAGGCGGTCGCCAAGTGTCGGGTGCGTGACAGGAGGCGGAGTGGGGTGCCTTGCTCCACGAGGCGGGGGAGGCGGCAGGTCGCCTCGCCGCTCCACCGCATGAGGGCGACCGTCCTCGTCTCGCTCGATGGAGAGGCCCGTCCAGCTACGAATGGCAGCCGGCTCATGGCCTTTTCCTCCGCTTGCGCCACTAGTCGGCATCCGGGATGTCACCCCATGATCTTGGGGAGGGGGCGGCTCGTTGTTTTGTCGGGCTGGAGCTTCAACGCGGCACGCGGCTTCGTGTTGCGCGGTGGCCGCGTCTAGGAGCTGCTGGACTCGCTCCGTCATGTGGCGGCGCTCATCGCCGTCGTATTTGTCCAGCTCCTCCGTCGCCGCCTGGGTGGCCCGGATGTTCTCTGCAGGCGTGGCATAGATGGGGCACTCCTCCCCGAACATGCTGGCAATGGTCGCGCCACGCTGCCGAACTGTGCCGAGGCGGCTAGGCCCCTCAGGAGCCGGCGTGCCGCCTACGGCTCGGTCCATCTCGTGCTGGTAGGCGTCCGAGAGCCGGCGCATGCTGGCCAGGCGGCCAGCATTTTCAAGAAGCTGGAGGCGGCGCGCCTCCAGCGCCTCAGCGTCCGCGCCCCTCGGGGATGGGCGCTGTTAGGTCGCACAGAGTCGTGTCGAGGGGATCTTGAGCATGCGTGTCCAAGTGCTCTCCGTTGTTGATGTCAAGCACCTCCGTGCCGGTGCTCCCGCCACTGTGCTCGCGAGGAGGTGGCTCGTCGTAGACCACCACGTTGGAGGGGAACGCATTGAACGACGCCGTGTCGGAGTCAACGATCGTCGGATCGGTGGAGCCAACAGACTCCAGGTCCATAGCAGGCTCGCTGGTGACATGGAGCTGGTCGAGGAGGCCGGTGAGGCGGCTCTCAGGGCAGCTAGTGCCCGCGTCGGAGACCGGCTCGTCGGAGAGGTCGATCTCGCCAACAAGGTCGGCGAGGTAGCTCGCCGCGTAGGCGATCTCCGCGCCGTGCAGCGCGTTGGGGCTGACGCCGTCAGGCGTGCTGGGCTGGCTTTGCTCGCCAGGAAGGAACAGGATTCCCGTCCAGAGCAGATCTCTGGAAGACGGTGCACCTCGCCCCACCGTGGGCGCCAAATGTCGGGGGTTGGGTGCGACATATGCCAAAGGATGGCTTATCATGGTGGGAGCGAGTAGAACGTTGCCGGTGCCTGGAAGCGGGATAAGGCGTAGACACATACGCCGGCGGACTTTACCCAGATTGGGGGCTCTCCATGGAGATAATACCCCTACTCCTGCCCTGCGGGGTCTTCGCCTGATCACTATGGCACTAGTGATGATACAAGTTGCTCGTTGAGCTGTGTCTAGAGGTAGGAGAAGGCAAGGCTAGCTCTTCCCTGCCCTAGGTAACTGGCTAGTTCTATCATGGTTGGAACCCTTTAGATGGGTGGCCTGGGTGACTTATATAGGCCTGCCCCCCAGGGGTACAATAGTAATCGGGCCGGCTGTTGGGCCCGGCTGTCAGTGTCTCCAGCCTCCGGCTTCTCCGCCGACCGTTGGGGCCCGCCGCCTGGTGGGCCCCGCCGACTGGCTGGTGGCTGCTTATTGTAGCCGTGCCGTTGATGACAAGGGCTTGGTCATCTCGGTGTGGCTACAGTCCCGCCGCCTGGTGGGAGGTCACTGTAGCCACACCTGGTCTCATCAGCTTAATGGCATGCTTGCCTCGGGGCAAGGGATGGCCGCCTGCTGGAGGCCGGCCCCTCCCGAGTCCGTCTGGTTGGGCTTCCGCCGTCTTCTACGGGGTCACTGCCCGATGGGGCTCACCACCGGCAGGCTGTACCGACAGGCCGTCGTGGGGAACAGGACTACGCCTGCTCGAGGCGACGTCAGGGGAGACATGGCACAGTGCCCCGTCGTGCGGAGATCCCCGCCTGTACGGAGCACTGTAGCCACGCCTGTCCCGGGCGTCGGGGGCGACGTGCTTCACTGTAGCCATGCTCTAACTTGTACTCTTGATGGGGGCTCGGTTGTTCCAAGGCCGCGAGGTGGCCGCCTGCTTGATGCCGCCCTCTCTAGAGGCCGGTGGGCTGAAGCCAGCCACTTCGCAGTGTCGTAGGCTGGGGTTGGCCGCCCTCTGGTAGCCGGCCGTCTGGCCAGCCGCCCCTAGAGGACGGAGCTTCAGCTTGAGGCCCAGCTAGGCGGGGCTGGCCCAAAGTCTTGATAAGTCCTGGGACCTGGGTGAGGCTACTCATGGCCCATTACTCCGACACCCGCAGCCCAAACCCTAGACCAGATCCCCCCATCACACCCCTCCTCCCCGCTCCCAATCTCCCCGCCGCCGCAGCCACCTCCTCCCCGTCCCTGTCCTCTCCCACCCACCGCCGACCTCACCGTCCACCTCACCTACCACCGCCGACCTCATCCCTCCCTCCCCTCACCATC